ATTCTCTTTGAAATGGAATTTTCTCTGAAGTGTCTAATTCATAACTAGTCCTTGGGGTTGCAAATGGTCAAGTACAGGGTTACTAACCAGAAGGTTGGTGCAATCTGCCACCTAAAGGTCACGGCCATGAAAACCCGATGGAGCAGCTGGCTTTACCTGACAGGCATGGATGTGACCTGAATTGGAACAGATTGGATAGCCATTTTTTCAAAATGTACCATCTGTCAAGCAGAGTATCTGAGAGTCTCCACAACGCTGTGAGAAGTGGAAGCACCCCTGCTCACAGGTGAACAGTCAGAGGTCACAGACGCACAGCAGGGAGGGGAGGAGCCATTTCTTACTGACTCCAGAGCCAGTATGATTTCACGTGAAATGTGAATTATAATTTCTACACAACACATCTCTTTCCCTAATCTACTTCATAATGTTTCCAAAATAGCAAACTTAGAGTCTCAAATGTTTGTTAACTACCTTCTTTTTAGAAGCTTAAGCAGGAGTGCTGGGCAACTTTTTCACTTATATCTTTTATCAATGTTCAAGCTTTTTAAAGGTAAACTTATTTTAGCATTTTCTTGTCAGATAAATCTAAAGACATGAACAACATCAGATATAATTTATAATTCAGAAGCCCTGAAATTTAAGTTTACCAAGGGAAGTAGAGACAAACTAAAGAAATCAAAAGAAGTTCTCTTGGGACTTTTCTCCCCAAAGTAGTTTGGCCTTTTGTTTGTTTTTTTTAAAAAGAAGACCCAAACAATGAGGCTGTCCTTTAGATTTGACTAAATAAACCAACAAAACAATTTAGAGGAAAAATAGATTTAAAAAAATCAACACATCCATCTGTGTAACCTATGGGAACACTAAGCTGAGGTAAATTCTCTATATCAAATAACAAAGGGCTTTGTGACAGATGATTTTTAAATGAATAAGCTTTAAAAATACCCACTCTCTGCTATCAACTCAGTCAGATTCATAGAATCTGAGACACTGAATCACAATGGGAAGATATGGCCCATATTTCTCTTGAGATTTAAAATACATTAATGTGATATAGACTCCCCTCCCTCAAGTTAAGTGTAGATAAAACCAAAAATTGTTGGATGACCAGGTACCTCTACTCTTCAGCTGTGCAACTTGTACAGGCAACTTAATCTATCAACACTCATGGCACCAGTAGTCAAGAAATCAAAACATGTTGCAGAGGGAACATCTGCTGTCAAAGACCTCTCCAAAGGGTTGAGGAGAAAGGATATCAGTTTAAAGACTAAGGTATACCTGATCCAAGCCATGGTCTTTTCAATTAGTTCTTATGCATCTGCAAGTTTGACAATGATTAAGGATGAGAGAAAAAGAATCCCCTTTGAGTTGCAGTGTTGGAGAAGGGTTCTGAATATCCCATGGGCTGCCAAAAGAACAAATAAATAAGTCTCCCATGAAGAGCAACCAGGGTTCTCCTTAGAGGCAGGGATGTTCAAACTTTATCTCACATACTTTGGCCATGTTGTCAGGAAGGGTTAGTCTTTAGAAAATACATCAGGCTGCGAAAGGTAGAGGATTAGAGAAGGAGAGGACCATCAGAGAGATGGACTGATGCTTCTAACAACTCAATCTTTATGAGCTTTAGTTTTCTCAACTGTAAAATAAGTATTTCTAAAACTCATATCCAGAGTTGTTGTTAATAGAAAGTTTGGCACCTCCTAAGCCCTCAACTGCTTGCAACACATATGGTATCAGCTGTAGAAAGAACTCTCACACTGGCTGATGGATGCCTACCCAAGAATGTTCAAAGACCCTGTTGATGCTAAAATTTTAAATCTGGTGGCAAAAACTTAAAATGCTAAATTATGTTGAATATTTCTGCTTAGTATTCTAGTTAAAATGTTCATGACAATTTAGCAAAAAGATAATAAAAGGACTTTACACTAACACTCTCTGAAGCGTAGTCATCTTTTTAGGAAAATTCCTTTGGCTAAATCTAAGTGATAATTTTGTTCTAAAAGTTTTAGGGGGTCCAGGGAATCCCTTAGTTATTTCAACTCAAACTCATTGAGTTGAATACCTCCTTCTTAAGACTAAACCTCATCACATTCCAGAATATGGTTACAATCAGATGTGTTCTCACTCTATAAAGAGGCAGGAGGGGCTGGGTGTTGTACAAGTTAAATTATATTCATCGGTACTCTTTCTATCCCCTGCTAAATAAACAAAAGAAACCACAAATGTTTCTCAAACATAAAAAACCAAGCAAACTGAACAAAATAAGTAAAAGGTTGGAGTTGGTGGAGGGAACCCAAAACCCAGGAGCAAATCTTTTATTTCCCGTTTCCGATAACTCACTTCCTGTTATTCTGTCCAGCTGTGTAACCTATGGGTAGGCTAAGTTGAGGTATATTCTCTACATCAAATGAGAAAGGGTTTTGTGATTGATATTTTATAAGTGAATTAAGTTTAAAATGCCCCCTCACTGCCAGTGGCTCAGTTCTCACTCAGAGAATGAGACACTGAATCACAATGGGAGGATCAGAGATTTTAAAATACACCAAATTGATAAATTTTTCCCCAAGTTAAGAAAAAAGTATTTGAATGATTAACTTAATACATTTTAATTCACTCAATAATGAATGATTAACTTAATACATTTTAATTCACTCAATAATTTGATAATATTTGACAGTAGACTGCTTTTGTATTTCTAAACAAATTCATTCATGTAAATGGCTTGAGACAGAGCCTGGAACTTCCTAAACGCTCAAATAGTAATACGCTATTATTAAGGAGTTCTAGTGGCACAGTGGGTAAAGCACGTACCTATTAACTAAGACACTGCAGGTTTGTATGTACCAGCCACTTTCAGGAGAAAGCTGTAACAGTCTGTTTCCCTGTAATAAGACTGTGAGTCTTGGCAAGTCCTACTATCTCCAAAAAGGTTGCTAGGAGTTGGCATTTACTTGCTAAAAATGCATTTGGGTTGTTTATTATTACATTTATATCATGCTTGACAATCCTGCCTTTTGAATGAAACTTTCTCTGTCAGTCTGAACTTTCTTGCTTAGAAGTTTTAAAGTCTTCTTGCATATGTCATTCCAAAGGCTTGTGTAGGGAGCAGACTACTCGTCTGAAGTGGGAAAGCCTGGCTTCCAATTGCTGCTGTCTCTTAAAAGGTCTTGGAAGCACAGATAAGTTGGAATTTCTTTGCCCTTTTTTTCCCTCGTCACCCAGAGGATAGTGGCCTAGTCTGTAAGAAGTTGTGCTGCTAACCCAAAGGTCACGTCTCTCTGGCAGTTCAAATCCATTAGTGACTTTAAAGGAAAAAAGATGGGTGATTTACAACCTTGAAAATCCAATAGAACTAACACAACGAACGGGTCACTTTCAACTTAACAGCAATGAGGTTTTTCCAGCTCTTGTAAAAGAGTAGATTTTTTTAAAAGGACATTAATTTTTTAAAAAATCATATCACTTCCCTTTACTGTATAGCTCCACCATTCAAAAGCTAACTTAAAAAATAAAATAACACAGCTAATATAACACAAATAAATCACTCATTCTAGTTTAAAAGAAAGAGAAAAACAGAAAAACCAAAAGTCAATGAAAAGGGAAATAAAAATTATGTGGTTTTTAAAAAAAGAAATTATTTTTCAATTTTATAAAAAAATGAAACAATTTTCCTATTCCTTTCCAACCTCCAGTATTTTTTAAAATTCTAAGTTCGTTTCATTTCCTTTCATTCACAGATTTCATTAGAGGTCACAGTCCAGTGGCCCTCAGGGTCACAGCCTAGCCAGGGCGCACCTCCCCAAATGCACACCTTATCTCTGTCAGCAGAGCAGCAGGAAACAGAGCTGGGCTTTCCTGTGGCAGCTCATATCTTTCCGAAGCCCGTCCTGACCCTTCCCAGTGGCTGCAGTTAGCCCTCTGCCCAACGACTTTAGGCTTAAGCTCCCCTCCCAGAGCCTGAGCTCAAAAGCTTTTCAACCTGCTTATAAACAGAACAGACAAAATCTTTAATGTGTGACCAATTATTCCCTTCTCAGACCTGAAACCCAGGACACTCTAACAAGGCTCCCTTGAGGCAGTGTTCAGAAATGACATCTTTTGTTAAGGATCAAACAAAGAATGTTTAAGGAAAATGAGATGAATAAATAATTTAAAGTTCACAAATAAACCAAAGTAACTGTGTTTTATTTAAATATTGTTTGTACCAACTTGAAAAGGAATTTGAGTAAAAGGGAAAAACATTTGAGAGCAAAGATGATAGCACTTACTTATTAGCTCACAGGTTAGAATCACACCAACTTGAAAAATGACAAGATTAATCAACTTTGGTTTGGGGTGGTGTTCACACAAGTAATTAGTACTCATTCCTTAGTAATTAAACCTTTTGTTAAAGTGTTGTGCAGCTTGTTTAGAAATCAATCTTCTGCTGCAACAGAGAGGATCATGTCATGTTTGCATCTTTTAACAGTTTAAAATCCTTTAAGTACACATTTGTCCCTTGGTACAGATTTACTGCTCCTGTTAATGGATGCCAATACTTCTGAAAGCGGCCGACACATGAGCAGATCTGTAAACTCACAAGTGTCTTCGTGCCTTGAATGAGAACAACTTAAGGATCCCTGAAAATTGTAAAACTCTGAAGGATGCAAAAGTGTAAAGGAAGTTAATGAGATATTTTCATCTTATATTTGAGTCCAATTTGTTTCTGTTAAGATATGAATAAATTACTTTATCCCTCCTCCTTAAATATAAACTGGTTAGAATTAGCACAGTAATCCCCTGGTTGCCGATTGGCTATGCTCTGTCAAAAGGCTGGTGGTTGAAACACACCCAAAGATGCACTGGAAGACAGGTACCACCATCTGCTTCCAAAACTCTGTGGTGTTCTACTCTGCAAACATGGGGTTTACCATGAGTCAGAATCCACTCAGGAAACAAACAACAAGGGTTAGTATATTTCAATGCTCTAGTAAGTTCTTAATAAGCAGCACTTGGTTACAAACCTGTTATCATTTGCTGTGCATCATACGGTTCCATATACCCATCGTTTTCTCCTACTCTCTCTGCATCCCTTTGGCCTTTTGTCCGTTTGGCATCATAGGGGTCAGCATAGTCTTCTAAGATGATGACCTATGAAAAAACAAGAGGACTCTTGGATGCCAAAATGTCCATGGTCTTTTAAAAAGCCTACTGATCTCTTACCGATCCAAAAAGGACAAAATCTCCCACTAGTGCTGGGTCTCTTTTGCACTTGAACTTGTTATTTATCCAGTTAGACAAACACTTTTTTGTATGTTTGCTTTGGAACAATTCACATAAACTTTTCTGCATATCCTCATGGCTCTTTTCACTCTTTCTCAGGCAATAAAGTAGTAGGAGTAGGTGGTATCTAGGAGTTTAAAACTTAAAGAGATGAACTGGCCTATTATATGCTGGTCTATACATATTATCTGGCCTTTTTGCTCCAGTGAGCAAAGCAATGTAGTCATAGTGAGTCAGTCAATAACATAGCAATTTCTGAATGTTCACCTGAGGAAGTCATCTGAGGGAAGCAAAATAAGCCCAAGGCTGCTTCTTCCCTGCAAGACCTGATAACAGCGCTAAAGAAATAGGCTTCAAGAACAAGCAATACTATATACAGTACTGTGGGAGTTCTGTTAAGTCAAATTAAGTACGACTCATAGAGACCCTGTAACATAGATATGAACCCTGTCTTGTGCCATCCTCACAATCTCGAACACACTTGAGTGCACTGTTGCAGTCACTTTGTCATTCCATTGGGTTGAGGGTCTTCCTTTCACCATCCTTCCACCTTCCCAAGCATGATGTCTTTCTCCAAGGAACAGCCTCTCCTAGCAACATGCCCAAAGCATGTGAGCCACAATCTTACTTGAAGTAGTAGTTGTAGGTTCAATAATTAATAGGCAGACTGATTTACACAGGCTGTACGTAGATGTTGAAGAAGAGTATTGAATATTCCATGGCAGCCACAAGAACAAAGTACCCAATAGAGACAACACACTCTGTGCTGTGGGCATCTGTTGGGCACCGTATTTGTAGCCTGGAGAAAAGAAAATTAACATCTCCATGGCATAATGTGATTGCCTGAGCTTCCTCTTCTTATCTCGGAGGAAGTGAAGCCTGGGTGCTCCTTAGAGGAAGGGATGGTCAAACTTCATCTCACATACTTTGGCCATGTTTTCTGGAGGGGTCAATCCTTGAAAAAAGATATCATGCCAGGAGAGGTGAAAGGTCGGAGAAAAGAGGAGATGGACTGATGCAGTGGCTGTAACAATGGGCTTGAGAATGACAGCGATCGTGAGGATGGTGCTGGAGAAGGCAGGGGTTGTTCAAAGGGTCGCTGAGTTGTGTCCACTCACTGGCACTTAATAGCAACAACCACCACAACAACACAGTCACATAGCATTTTGATCCCTATTGGTGTCAGAAAACACTCATCCTTCCAAAAATAGGCAAGTTCTGGAGGGAGAAGTGATGTGGATGGAACAGACTTGTACTGCAGAAGCCTGGAGACTAGGAAACCTTCACCAGACAGGAAGACTGGTCTGCTCCATCATGAGGATGAGAGAACAGCCTGGACGGAACCGTCCACTTCAGAGGAGGTGGTCTAAGAAACTGCAGATATCCAGAAGTGATAGCTGTAAAAACAGCCAAGCAGTCACTGCAGAGGGCTGTGACTACCATTCATGCACTCAACCCATTCTTCCTGAACTGCCCCCTAGATACAATGCAGGTTCAAGGCACAGCAGGGAACACAGAACATGGTACTCTGCCCTGGCTTCAAGGTGTCTCTCATCTAGGCAGAAAGACAGCGCAGTGACTAATGCAGGAAATGGGTCCTCTTCCACCTTCGCATGGCTCTTCCTTTAGTGCTTGGCACAGGAGAGATGCTGTAAATATTTGTGTAAAGAATGATCAAAATGCAGACAAGGCACATGTGCTGTGTGGGCTCCTTCAGAGCAGCATGTTTGAAGCCTGGGCAAGAGAAAATTAACATCTCATGACATGACATGATTGCCTAATCTAGAGTCTAAAAACTCAAGTTTGAGTTCTTCTCTGTTCCCTGTTTCACGCAAGAGAAGTGTTTAAATAAATCAATTCATCCCGTCTGAATGGAATGATTCTCTCCTTAAAAACTCCTTTTCTTAACTTTCCCACGTTGGACAGCACCCAGAAGACCTCCCGTGTGTAAAAACCAGGAAACACCTTCTTCTCTCTTGATCCGTAATTTCCTTAAGGCCATTTCCTTGTCCTATTTTGTCTCCCCCACAGCCCTTAAGACCCTGTATCCCCTTTCCTATACAACTGCTCTCAGTAAATGTTTATGGAATGAATGAAAGGGAGGTAAACTTGGGACAAGCTTACAGATGGAACTGTAAAGAACGATGGAACTCCCAAGTGAGCAAAGAGGAGTGGCCAACCCATTCACTGAAACAGTGAAATTCATGCTTGCTTACATCGTTTAGAGTTCAACATTCTTGATACTTAAGAAGGACAAAAGGTATACATAATTCTAGCGGTGTAATTTCCCCAGGATGTCAAAACTAAAATAAGTCACTTTTACAACTAGTTGTGTCCCTTGTTGACTCACAGTAACCCGGTGAATGTCAGAAAAGTACTTAGATTCCTTAGAGTTTTCAATTACTGGTTTTTCAGTAGGAGAACCTTTGGGTGGACTTCCCAACTTTCAACCCATTAGTTACCTGGTAAGATACTTATCCCTCACCACCCAGGAACACCAATCATTTCTGCGAAGACAAACTTAACAAAGACTAACTATGTCCTTCAACTCTCAAACTGTTAACAAAATTAAGTGGCTGGCACATTTCTGGAGAGTATCCCATTCCCACAATGATTATTCAAGGTAAAGACTCCTAAGTGACTCCGGAGTCATTGAATTCAAGACCTTCAGAAACACATCTTCCCTTTGTAGTTAGTATAAAGAACCCTAGATCCTAGTGGGTTCACAATCTATGCTCCCCACTCCCACCATTTCATTCTTGTAGAGGAAAAAGCTGCCCAAGGGGCAGTAGGATTCTTACCGTGTCTTGCTGCTTAATTATCTTGCCTTTGTCCAGTTCGGGGCCCAGGGAAGAAGGGGAAGAGGACGCCGAGGAAGAACTACTGCTACTGCTCGTGCTGCTGGTACTGCTGCTACTAGGGTAACTGTTCTTGCCGTTCTTCTCCTGCGTGTCCACCTTGATGAGCCTGTTGATGTAGGTGCTGCAGCCCGTGCTCTTGACCGCGCCCCGGTGGGGCTCCTCCTCGGTGGTGCGGGAGTTCTTGCGGCCCTTGCCGGCGGCCGCCTGAATCAGCCCCTGCAGGCTCTCCCGGGACAGCCGGCTGTCCTTGGGGGGCGCGCCCCCCGCCCTGCTGCTCCCCAACTCCGCAGCCGAGTTCTTGCGGCCCTTGCCTGGGGTGGGCCCTGCGCCCCCTGCCTCCGAATTCTTCCGTAGTTTGTTGCTGCCACCCCCGCCGCCAGGCTTGGCCCGCTCGGACACGGTCTTGAGGTTCAGGGGGAACTCCTTGAACCACTTGGCCGCCATGAGGGGGCCCCAGCCAGCGCGGCTCAGGAGCGTCGTGGCCGCGGAGCAGGTGATGGAGGAGGCCCAGCCCAGACACGGAGAGGCGCCAGAGGCCGGGGGCCACTGCATTCCCCGGGGCTGGGGCGCTGGAGGCCGCAGCGAGGCCCCGAGAGGGCAGCTCCGCTCGCCCCGGGCCGGCACTCGCCCACGCCTGGCGGGGTGGGGCCCCTACGGCCAGGGGCGCCGAGCGGGCGGGCGCGGGCCGCTGCTCCGGACGCGGACGGCGACAGACACGAAGCACCGGGGCTCCGCCCGGGCTCCTCTTCAGAGCCTGCACTGCCGGGGACTCCGCGCCTCTCCGGAGGCGACAGGCGCCGGGGCTTCCCCCTGCTCTTTCCTCCGCGGCAGGGGCGGCCGGGGACACGGGAAGCCCCCCGACAGCCTTTTCTACACTCCTGGGGATGAGAGGGGACAGAGCAGAGACGGCGGGAGTGCCCTGGCGCCGCGCGGCCGGTGGACAGACGGCAGGCCGCCCACCCTCACCAGTGCCCCTCCCCTCCGACGATGGCACCTCCCAGCCCGCCACCTCCCGCCCAGATCCGGGGGCAACGGGGTAGGTGCTCCTGACCCTTTGGCCACCTCCACATCCGCACCCCTGGAGGGGCGGGTCTGAGAAGTGTATGTTATGGAGGTGACAACAGCAGCACGTGCGGCCTAGCCACGCCCTTGTTAGCGGTGACCCCCACTTCTGCACTAAAAACTCCCTTTCTGCACCACGTGCACCTCTCAGCTCCTTGACGGAAGCCCCGTCGCTCCTAAGACCTAGAGCAGGCCTCAGCAGCTCAGTCCACTTTTTGCGCAGACTTATTTTACTGGGGGGACGGAGGCGGAGACCGTGGAAACGGGTTCCAGCACCGACTCTGCTGGGTCCCACAGCCGCCTATAGGACCCCAAGTGCCGGCTCTTCCCGCCGGGCCGGGCCGCCAGCCGGGGATTGGCCGGGAGGACGGCCCCGCCCCGTCCCTCTCCTGTGCGGGTCTCGCAGGAGGCGGAGCTCGGAGCGGAGATGGAGGGAAGATGCCTTGGAGACCCCTGGACACGGTGGGACATGGGAGTTATGGCGTACTCGTGCCAGGTCAGGCTGTTGGGAGACTGTTGGCAGGGTCGGCCTTCAGGAGACAGCTTTGTAATCTGCAGCTTCCATTTCCACTTCAGGAGCTGGGTTACTCCAGCTGCATCTACTGAAAGTTTTAGTGGGGATGTTAAGTGCATTTTGTGCTAAACTGAGGGGTTCTTGACGTTGGGAGAGGCATCTGGTACTCCTCACCTCCTGCTTCACAAGCAGTTCTTGAATGCCTTAGGTTGAAAAAGAACCCTCTTCGTTGTAAACCCGCGTATACCAGTCACGGGAACAGTCCTGACCACTCATTAGCTGCCTGTGTGTGCGTGGTGTTTTTGTGGGATGGAATGGAGAAACAGAAGTGTATCATACCAACCATTATATTTTTTTTATACTAGTTTATTTACAAAATTTGAATACATTGTTTTTCACATGAGATTCTTCCCATTTCCCTTACCCTCCCACCCATCAAATTGTGCGACTCATGGTTAATCCCCACCACATCCTCACCCCTCTGCTTCCACCCTACCCCCCCTTTGTATACTCATACTCATTCTAAAGTAATGGGTTTATACAGTATTTGTCCTTATGGGACTGAGTTTGTTCACTCAGCATAATGCTCCCCAGTCCCTCTCAATTTAGGTAATAATTTACAAAATCATTGCTCCTGCATGCTCCATACATAGTATTCCATTGTCACACCAACCATTTTTGAGAACTTATCTTAAGAAAAAAAGTTTTGTTGAGATAATTAAGCTGTTTTGTGCGTACAATGGTTTTTGAGCAGTTTTTCATGTATTTACAGAGCTGAGAGTTCACCATTTAATTTTAGAATATTTCCACTGCTTCACAAATGAACCTTGTGCCTGTTAGCTGCCACCCTCATTCTTTCCAAGCCTCCGCCACCACACTGCAATGGAATTGACACCTCTTCACATCTCAAAGACAAAGCAGAACTGTCCCATAGGGTTACCAATTCTGTAAATCTTTACAGAAGTACACAGCCACATTTTCCTCCCAGGGAGTGGCAGATGAGTGAAAATCTCAACATTAGCAAAGTAATACTTACTCCATTGTGCCACCAGGGCTCGCTCTTCCAGCTGTGTTGTTGTTAGGTGCACTTTTGTTGTTTGTTGTTATGTGCCATTGAGTCAACTCTAACTCAGCCACCCTGTGTACAACAGCTCTGAACTCTGCCCTATCCGGAGCCGATTTCATCATCTCTGACGTCCCTAATCCCCATAACCCCAGTCACTGAGTCAATCCATCTCATCCAGGGTCTTCTTTTCTTGTGCTGTCCCTCCACCCTTCCAAGCCTGAAGTCCCTCTTCAAGAACTGGCCCCTCCTTGCAACATGCCCAAGGTAGGTCAGATGGAGCTTCAAAAGCCTTGCTTCCAAGAAGCAGCCTGGTTTCACCTTCTCCAGGACAGACCTGTTTGTTCTCTTTGCAGTCCATGGTATATTCAGTATTCTTCTCCAATACAACAACTCAAAGCCATAGGTTCTTCTTCTGTCATAACTTAAGTCACTGTCCAGCTCTCTGATGCATAGCAAGTAATTGCAAAGACTATGGCCTGGATCAGGTGCACTTTAGTCTCTAGACTGACATTGCTCTTCAGTATTCTGGACAGGTCCCTAGCAGCAAACTTTCCCAATGTGATTCATCTTTTGATTTCCTGCCTGCTTGGTAGCAAGAGTGTTGCTTATGGAGCCAGGCAAACGAAAGCTGTTAATCAATCTCAATATCTTCATATTAAGTGTTCTGGAATTCCCATTCTTCACAGAGTTAGCCAGTTTGTTGTGATCCACACTGTCAAAGGCCTTTGTATAGTCAAACAGATTGACATTCCTCTAGTACTTTCAAATAATGACCCTCTGAATAATGTATCTGAACCATGCCTTATCCTGTGCCATCCTCATCATCTCTGGTATACTTGAGAAATACTTGATATACTCTGAGAAAGCTGCAGGACAACCAACTGGCCAACTGACTTGTGGGAAGCGGAATATAAAATTTAATATTAATAATGAACCAAGTGCTATATCAGGATATGAGGGAGGCATAATACCAGCTAGAATTTACCCTGTGGCACTAGGCATTCTCTAAGAGTCTACATAATTCTTAGTTTGTAATAACTGAATCTCTTCCTCCTGAGATAAGCCTAAGGTAAACAATAGAGAAGAACTTGGCCTTATTTACAAAAGACATCCCCATGATCCTTTGTTTTTATTTACTACTCCCTTGTGATTTTCCTTTGTTTACCTTCCTGATGATTGTCAATAAAAACCCAGAAAGTCTTAGCATAGGGACTGTAGTTCTTCCAGCTGTTAGCTCCCTGCCTTCATGCTTTCTGGCCTGACCCCCATTCCTGTGTGTCCCCATCTCTGTCTTTTCCTTCAGTCGACAACAGGCTGACCCCTTCTAACAACATGCCCAAAGCATGTGAGATGGTTCTTCACCATCCTTGCCTCTGAAGAGCACCCTATGTGCACTTTATCTACGACAGAGAACTGTATACTTTTTTCAGCAGTCCATGGGATATTTCTTACTTTCTTCAATATCACACTCAAACACATTGAGTATTCTGTCATCCTTAGTCATTGTCTAAATTTCAGATGCAATGGAAGTAGTTGAAAAGACCTTGGCTTGAGTCACATGGCCATTACTCTTTAAACTGCTCCTTAGCACTTTGGAGAGATCCTTGACAGCAGATTTCCCCAATACAATAAGTCTTGATTTCTTGATTACTCGTACCATGGGTGTTGATTGTAGATCCAAATAAGATGAAATCATTGACAAGTTCAGGCTTTTCTCCATCTATTGTGATGTTGCCTGTTGGCCCCGTGGTGAGGTTATTTGTTTTCTTAATGTTGAGGTGTAATCCATATTAAAGTCTTTGATCATATGCAGCATGCATTTTACGTCCTCCTCACTTTCATCTAGTAAGGTTGTGTCATCGGCATAACATAGATTGTTGATGAATCTTCCTCTGATTCTGATGGCCACATTCTTCTTCAAGAAGTCCGGCTTCTGGAATGATTTGCCAAGCATACAGATAGGTATAGAGAAAGGATACAGACCTCATTCACACCTTCCTTGATTTTAAACCTGACTTTGTCTGACAACAAGTTACTTGATCTAGGTAGAGATTTCTTATGAGCACACATAAGTCTTACAGGATTTCCTTTCTTTTCTGTATTGACCATAATTTGTTATGATGTACACAGTCAAATGCCTTTGCATAGTCAATAAAGCAGAAATAGATATCCATTTTTTATTCTTTGCTTCCAACCAAGATCTATCTGACATCAGGAATGATAGCCCTGATGCCACCCACAGGCTCTTCTACATCTAGCTTGGATTTCTGGCAGTTCTTTACTGATCTCCTGTTCTAGCCATTTTTTAATAATCTTTAGTAAAATTTTGCTTGCATGTGATTGATATTAATGTATTGTTGGATATTTTCCATTCTTTTGGATCAACATTTTTAGGAATGGAAACAAATATGGATCACTTGCACTCACTTAACCAGGTAGTTGTCTTCCAATTTTTTTTTTTTTGCACATGGGAGCATGCCCAGGATTGCATCTGTTTGTTAGAACATGTCAATTGGTATTCCATCAGTTTCTGGATTTGAAATTTTCCCCCCCAATGCCTTCAGTACAGCTTGAACATCTTCCTTTATTGCCATTGTTTTATTTGGTTTTCTTTTTTAAATATACTACTTACTGAAATGGTTCATTGTTCATCTGTTTATTTATACAGTGACTGTGTGTGCCTTCTCTCTTCTTTTGATGCTTCTTTTTATTATTCAAGATTTCCCCACAGCATTTGTCATACTGCAATTCAAGGCTTGACTATTTTTAGTTCTTTTAGTGTGAGAAATGTTGAATGAGTTCACCCCTCATTTTCTAACTCTAACTCTTACATATTTTGTTAAAGTTTGTGTTGTCTTCTCAAGCTCCCCTTTGAAATTTTCTGTTTCATCTCTTTTACTTCACCATTTC